TGTCTCTCTGTCTCTGTCTCTGTCTCTGTCTCTCTCTGTGTGTGTGTGTGTGTGTCTGTGTGTGTGTGTGTGTGTGTGTGTGTGTGTGTGTGTGTGTGTGTGTGTGTGTGTGTGTGTGTGTGTGTGTGTGTGTGTGTGTGTGTGTGTGTGTGTGTGTGTGTGTGTGTGTGTGTGTGTGTGTGTGTGTGTGTGTGTGTGTGTGTGTTTGTGTGTGTGTGTGAGTCTGAGAGTCTGTTCTAACACGTAGAAACAGCGTTCTCTAAAGTAAAGATTCTCTAAGACGAACAGACCTCAGCTCCCGCAGGAAACCACAACTTTTGTGTTTTGGGATATATCTGAGACCCATGCCTAAAAATAGCATGATAGGAGATCTTTGAACACCTGTGTCTTCAGCAGTGTGAGGGCCGGCTCCTCCCCCCCGGGCCTCATGTTCCCCTGCAGGCTGGTTCCCCCGCGGGTCTGCCTGAGCAGCGAGGAGAAGGCGCTGAACACGTCCGCCCTCACGTTCTCCTCGCGCTCCTTGAAGCGGGCCAGCAGGGCGGGGCAGACGGAGGAGAAGAAGCTCAGCAGGAGGTCCCGCCGCGTCGCGATCAGAGACTCCAGACACTTGATGGAGGAGCGACGCACCTTCCAGCTCATATCGTCATCGTCACTGTACTCATCGTCTGACTCTGGAGACAAGAGGAGAGACGGTTATTTCATTCTTTTTTAGAACTGTCTCTTTATTCCACAAATATATATCAAACATGGAGATGTAAATAAAAATCACACCCGCCTCCGTTTACAGTCCACTCAAATCTACACGTTATTTCTCACAAACATACATTACCCCTTTCCTTCTAAGTCTTGGCAAATTATACGTAAATACATTCATTTAAATTCTCTGACCTTTCCCTGGGTAGACGGCACAGACCGGTATGCTTACAAATAGACAGTTATAACTCAAATAATATAAATTATATCAAGATATGTTTGACCAATTGGGAAGGATGTGGCTCAGTGCATAGTGTGATGGACTTCGAATCAGGGAGTAGCAAGTTCAAACCCCCCTGCAGTCAGCATGTCGTTGTGTCCCTGAGACACTTCTCCCCAAAGTGCTCCTGTGGGGATTGTCCACTGTGTTGAGTATGTAAGTTACTTTGGATGAAAGCGTCTAACATGTAATGTAATTACGTTGATTTCTATATAGAGATAACATTGTAGGGTTCTGAGAAGAGATGGTTATTTTTAATCGATTCATATTTTCTCTTAAGGCTGCTCAATTAATCGTATTTTAATCGCGATTACGATTATGGCTTGCAACGATTACGAAAACAACGTAATCGAAATAAAACCATTATTTTTTTATTATTACTTTTCTTTTTTTTATATAATTTTTTTTTTGGGTTTTTCAGTTGAATTATACTTAACGTTCAGGGTAATCAACTTTTAAAAACATACTGTAAAAAAAATGTTTGTCCAATAAATGGATGTTTTCAAAGTCAATGAATAATCGCATTTAATAATCGCAATTACAATTATTGACCCAAATAATCGAGATTATGATTTTTGCCATAATCGAGCAGCCCTATTTTCTCTCATTGTCTTCAAATCACTTATCATTGGCCTAGGGAGATTTAATTAGATTTTCTATCTCAATCAATCTGAACAGACCCACAAAACAATGCATTATGGGTTTTTGTATTGTACATTATTAGATACAGACATGAGACTTTCTTTTTTAAATCCAAATACCTGAAATTGAGGACTAACACTGACTGAAAGGCAGTGCTGGAAGTTCTCTATACTCACATCCAAATGCGTGGAACTTTATTGGAGTATTTTTCAGATTACAAGTTACTAAGTAAAGTAAATAAGGTAACAATTGATTTTCTAACAAATCATTCAAACTGAGTCCTCAGTCAAATATAACCTCAAGACACGACTGAACACGGATTACTGTCAAACTTGTATTAAAAGTTATCAAAATAAATTAATATAATATTGAGCTTTAGCTCTTTACTGAGAATATTGTACTGATATTAGTCTTTTGTAATCATACATGTACTGTATATATGCTAATAAGTACATTAAACATTCTTTCATCAGTTAAATGCAAAATACTTATAAATCTAGAAACAGTTTTTATTTAAGTTTTAGTAATACCCAGCAGTATTTGAATCAGCACAAAACATAAATGAACACACACCTTCCTCCAGCCCTTCCTCCACGTCCATGCTGTCTTCCTCCTCCTCTTCATCGTCATAGTTGTAGTTCGGGTCAAAGGTCATGAACTTAAGGCAAAGCTTTGTCACCGTGGAAACATGTGGGGACATCTCCTTTGGACAGCTGTCAATCAACGGAAACAACAACATGAAGGTCAGTGTGAGTGTGTGTGTGTGTGTGTGTGTGTGTGTGTGTGTGTGTGTGTGTGTGTGTGTGTGTGTGTGTGTGTGTGTAGTGTACGTAGTCGTACGTACGTACGTACGTACGTACGTACGTACGTACGTACGTACGTACGTACGTACCGTACGTACGTACGTACGTAACGTACGTACGTACGTACGTAGTACGTACGTAC